CAGCGGTTCCCAACCTTTTTAGTCGGCGGTGCCCTTTTGTTGTTCCAAATTTAGTTAGGTGCCCCTCTGTGAATATTATGAAAAACATGATAAAAATGAACACTTGTTTTCATTGTTAACCGATTTAAATAATTTTATTGTACATATTAAAAACAAATTACAATATTATGGTTGAAAATAAAGAAAAAAAATACTGCTTTAAAAGTTAAAAATAATGAGAGTTTTTTGGCTGCTTATTTTTTGAAAGTTTGGCAATATCTGGTTCAATTTTTGACAGTTGGATACGAAGGTCAAGTTCTACATTAAGACGGTTCCGGTATTTGGTTTTAGTAGCCGCATAGGCTGAAAATCCTGTCTCACATAAATATGTGGTAGCAAAAGGTAGGAGTATTGTTATTGCTTTTTGACTCAAATTATCAAAACTTGTATTTTTCAAATTTAGCCAAAATTCAACATAAGAATTGCTACTGAAGGTGGATTGAAATGTTGAATCTGAAGTAATATCGATCAAACTCTCATATTCGATTGAAGACAAGCTTGAGGGTTTTCCACAGACTGAAAATGGATTAACTACCCATTCACGGTCTTTTAAAAACACCTTTCGATCTGTAGGAAAATATTTATTAAATGAATTTTTCAGTTGTTTGAGATGTTCAGAAATCTCGTTAATAATGCTAATGGGAGTTTGCAATTCGTTTTCTTCCAAAAAGGCCTGCATTATTGGAAAACACTCCAGCTCTCTTTTAAATATGCACTCTGACCAATAATCAATTTTTCTTTTCAATGCACATACTCTGGAGCTCGCATCAAAAATTGTCAAAGTTCTTCCTTGTAAAGAAAGACTTAATTCGTTCATTTTGTTAAAAATGTCTGCCAAGTACGATAGCTGACAAAGCCAAGTCACGTCATTCATAGTTTCAGTTAATGTAACGTTGTGGTCCATTAGAAATGAAGAAACTTCAGCCCTTAATTCCATTAACCGTGTTAATACTTTACCGCGAGATAACCACCGGATTTCTGTATGGAAAAGTAACGTATTATGAATACTTCCCAAGTCGTCACACAAGATTTTAAAAAGTCTAGATTTCAGAGGACGTGACTTGATGAAGTTGACTATTTTTATGGCTTCATCCAATACGTTTTTTAGACAAAGAGGAATATTTTTCATTGCTAGAGCATGTCTATGAAGTATGCAATGACTACTAGTAGTTTCATTTGATTTCTCCTTTATTTTAGCNAATAGTTTCATTTGATTTCTTCTTTATTTTAGCTAATGTTCCAGCTGTTGCACCTGTCATGGCCCTAGCACCATCAGTACATACATCGATACAGTTTGTCCATGGAATCTGATTTTCTGTTAAAAAATCATCCAATAAACCGAAAATTTGAACCCCTGTCGTATTAGATAGAAGTGATTTACAAAATAAAAGATCTTCCTCAAAAGAGTTCATGTTTACGTAACGAACGAACACCAATAGCACAGCAAGACCAGCAATATCGGTTGCTTCGTCCATTTGTAGTGCGAATTTTGTGTATTTAATACGAGAGACAAGTGTTTCTGTTACGTTGCTAGCCAAATCTTCAATTCGCCGTGCAACAGTATTATTTGACAAAGGAATTATGGATAAATGTTTGGCAGATTTGTCATCAAGCATACAAGTTACTATATCAATAACACATGGTTTTATGAGGGTCTCCGCAATGGTATGAGCTTCGCCTTTTTGAGCTATACGGTAACTCACCATGTAGGAGGCTTTCAATGCATTTTCATTATCGGTTAGAACGTGCTTTTTTATTTTTTTTTTAACAGCCAATAGCTCAGAGCGCTTTCGTTTGAAAAAATCGAGTGGTTTCCCATTATGATCTGTGTGGACCTTTTCATAATGACGACGTAATTTTCCGGGATACATAGAACTGTTAGGAAAAACTTTTGAACAAATTACGCACTGTGGCTGGCCATCGTTTATTTCTATGAACCCCATCTCCAAATAACTTTCATCGTATTTACGTTTTTTGGACGTTCTTGGGACAGAGTCACCAGTATTTGGCGGTAGTGTACTACTCATACCTTGAGAAGTAGGACTATTATCATTAACTCCGTCTTCGTTGGTTATGCTTTCTTCTATATTAGAACAAGATGACTCCGTAGCAGGCGTCTTATTAATAGACCCACTTTTCAACCAACGGTCCATGTTTAAAACAAAAACAAACGTATATACAGAAAAAAATAGTTTACGAAAATACGTGTTAACGCGTAAAATGTCGATCACAGACTGAAAGTAAATGCTCAACTGGTTTGGTATAATAATAATTCCGAAAATATACGAGTGATACAATTAAATTTAATGATAGGAAATTCGAAGAAGTCGCGTGCGTGTATATTATACACGCGAATTCAGATAACATTATACACTGTATAATGTTATCTGAATTTATTTGATTGATTTATGTGATTTATCTGATATTTATTAAGGGCCTATGCCATTTATTTTAATCGATACCAATTAGAAACACTGTATTAAATATATCGAGTGTACTAAGTAATTTCATACGTAAACCAATTTTTTTTAACTACAATAAATTGTAAATATTTTTTTTCACTCTCGAGCCGCGGTGCCCAGGTTGGGAACCGCTGGTCTAAAGTGAAGTGAAATTTATTCCAAAAATCCAGTACATTTAGTTGGATAGGCGCATATAGAGGCTATGGTAATTTACAAAAAATGTAGGATATATCTGTGTTCTTATATAAAAATATTTTTAGTGTGAAAAAATAATAATAACACCATGTAAAGTATTAATTCTAGTTGCGCTAGTAAATTCCAAAAAAAATGGGAACTCTTTTAGATTTTAATTTAAAAGCAATTAAAATCACTATTTTAAATAATTTGAATAAGAATGTGCATAAGAAGTTCTCTATTCGTGTTGAGCCTAGTTCTAGGACGAATTAAAACTCTTATTTAGTATAGATAATAAGTGTAGTTAGAATAAAGTATCCATTATGACTTTGTTAACAGATATTCTTAAAGTATGATAGTAAGGTATATTGTGGTAATTTTTTAAATACACCAACTGGCTATACAGAAAACACATAAAAAATCAAATAGCTATTTGTAGTTGAAATTTCCGTGTATTATATATGTATATGTTATGGTCAAAGTAGAAAATCAGTCATTGTATTACAATAACTAGTGTATGTAGGAACTACATTTGTATGGTTTACTTTTGCCCAAATAGCATCAGCATTGTGTACAATGACCAGACATTGTATACAATGACTGATTTTTCCACTTGGACCGTCATATATATAAACTCAAACATTTTCAAATTTAATTTTATTATCTAATAAAAGTATAAAGTTAAAAATTTCAAGTTATAATAATTACATAATAAAAATTATGAAAAAAAAAACGAATAAAGTTATGTTAAATATTCAAATGCCATTTACTATTAAAATAAATTTCATGATAATAGTTCTATCATTTTACCCTAGTTTATATGATTATATTCTAAATCTTAGATACTAACCATGGACTCGCGTTTCATCACGAGTGTCTCATAATGAAGTGTTCGCGTTCGATAGGTCTAGCACTTCGCTGCGTAAACTATTCTCCAAGTCGGCTATCATTTCGTTCTTCGTCGTGGTTCCATTTAACTGCCTATAAGCGCAATGGCACAATAATTTCCGGGGGTTCATTTGAGAAACTGTTTTACCGGACATAGTGAGCGTTCCTTACCGTATTTTGCGTAATTGAACAAAATAAAAACGTAAGCGCTTGTTTGTTTTTTTTATTTTGTTAACTAATAAACCAAAAATAAAAAGAAAGAAATGGTAGATAGTAAAACATAGATTCTAATACATATTTTAAGTTGTATAAATTTTTATTAATTTCTTTAATCTGTCCCTTTTATTTTTTATTAATGGATTTTCATTTTCTCATTAATTTTTTCTCTTTTTAATTATTAATGGTTTATTACGCAATAGATTGTTGGAGGTTCAAAAGCATAGGTTAATTATCAAAAATTATTTAATATAAAGGTATTTCTTGTAACAAAAAACAAAACTAGGCTCTTCATTTTATTTTTACTCAAACATACTCCTCTAATTTAAGAAAACCTAATATTTCTAATTTTTTTTATTCATTCATTTATTCTTTAATAATTGTAATAAAAAAAACTTCGAAACTCGGTTTTTTTTTATAACTACATTTAATTAATTGTGAANACTCGGTTTTTTTTTATAACTACATTTAATTAATTGTGAAATGTATTAAAGCAAAGGAGAGTTATTTAACATAATTAAATAAAAATGTAATAACTTCTCAAACATGAATAAAAGACAAAATAAATTATGTTCTGTCTTTTCGAAATAATGTAAATAATAAATTGTCAACTATACATACTGAGCATATGAGATGATTTTCTTTTGAAGACAGGCAAAGACATATCTCTAACAGGCAACGTTCGATATATATCATCAAATATAGGTCACAAGTAAGTTGATGCTTATAACTGTGGAGTTTATATAATATACTACGCTATCACAATAATGAATAAATCACATTTTGACAAGAAGT